TGAAAGGTCAGCAGTGGGCAGGATCCCGGAGTTCAGCTTTAATGGGATCATTTCAGACCTGTGTCACATCCTCCCCTCCCCCGATGCATGCTTGTTTCCTTTCTGACAGCCGCAGCCTCTGATGTTTGTTTACATCCGGCTTCGCACGTCTTCATTGTCCCGGGCGCATCTGAGCAATTACAGCCCCATAGACTTCTATGGGGCTGGTTCCTGGGGCCGGAGACTATGGGGCATTGATCCACAGGCATAGGTTTGAGACCCCTGCTTTAGAGGTTTTAAAACGTGCTTATCCTTTAACCCTTTCACTATCACAGATGTTAGGCTTACATTGGCGGAAGCCTAGGCATTTAAACACACTCACGGGTGCCATAGCCGTCAGAACTGTACTCGGCCCCCAGAAGCTGATAGTTGATCCTGCCAGTGAGCTGATAACTTCCTCTACTGACTGTTATCAGTTACATTGTGTCCAGCTATTTCCGAGGGTTACAGAAATGTGTGGCTGTGATGTGAAGGGGGAACCACACTTTTCTGTTTGTGTGGGATCTCTCCTTAAAGGAGAACTATGAGGTCATGTCTTTTCCCCATAGTTCTCCTTAGGGTAACGGGAGCACACAAACTAGCGTCCTCCAGTCACCCAAAGCTCAGTAACAAGTCAGTTTCATCTGCTGCGTCTCAGTATACCGCCAGCTGTAGCTCGCGGCATACTGAGACGCCGCAGCTGAAACGGATCCCGACAATTATGTCTGGAATCCTCCCAGCTGCGTGAGTGACAGCTGGCTCTGCCTATCCGTCCGTTCCGCCAGTCAGCGCTGGAGGGGGGAATCCAGTCCCTCCCTGTCACGGCTCTCTACCGTGACAGGATTGAGAGGTGAGTGAACGCCGGTATGTGTTCGCTCACCTCCCGATCTACTGAGCCGACCTGTGACAGTCTCATTGTCACAGGTCGGCTAGAACTATGAGGAGGAGTTAAAATCACATAGTTCTCCTTTAAAATCCATTACCTTTTTAGACTGGGGGGGGCGGGCGAGGGGGCCTCACGATGCTACTAAACGTTCACCTAAAAGACCTTCTGATCTGAATATCGTGAAGAATATTATTCTATTTAATAAGTCTGACTTCATGTTCTCTCAGGAACGGGAGCTCCGAGGAACGTCCACAGATCCTCCAGAGACCTCTAGAAGACCGTCTGGCATATTTACAAAGTAAGAATTCCCCTCCGGCTCATGCTGTATGTCGGTTTGGCGGGGGGGGTGTGATGGTGGTGGGGGGTGATTGTTGGTGAATTGGGGCTGTTGTCACCCTGTGTTAATGTGTGTTCACCCCCCTCGCAGAACACTGCCGATGTGGCTCTAAGGTGGAGAACCTGGTTCAGTGGGAGAGGATTGTGCATGGAGAGAGCAGCGACTTGGAGTTCTGTAAGGTGAGGCCCGTCCTATCCCCGGAGATGAGCCCGTTGTGAAAATAGACATGGACACGATGGTTTTAGAAATGAAATGCATGGGGAGTATATAAATTAAATTAAAATTGCCATTTAATATATGACCTGCTGTGGTCTCATACTGGTAAATGCTGCTCTGAGCGTATACTTGCGTACAGATAGGGATGTACATCTCTGCTGGGCACAGGCAGTCTGCATCCCGGGCGGTACACATCTACCTCTATGCATGTCTAATCAGAGCAGTGTTTACCAGCGTACAGCCTGTCATTGCTTTGTACAGCCGAGCTGCACGCAACACCCATGGCTCCTGGACTCGGTAGTTTTGGACCTTTTTTTTACGGTACATGGACCTGCACCCCCCTCACTGATGAACACACATCTGCTCTATGCAAGAAGCTTTACACTAGGGATGCACCAATACCGGTATTTCAGTATCGAGTACCAATATTTATTTATTTTTTTCGGTACTCGACGATACCGGGTGGCGAACGGCCGGCCGAGAGCCTTGAAACTAACAGCTGGGCGGAGCCAGCCGTTATGTCACGTCTGGCTCCGCCCAGTTGCAATGACAGATCAGCGTTCTCAGGTTACCTGGGGATGCTGAACTGTCATTAAACAATGACAGCTGGGGCGGAGCCAGCCGTGGCAGTTGTTCATTGGCCGGGACCCGCTAGGTCACTGCTAGCTCTGCCCAATTGTTTTTTTTGGTTTTTTTTTTACATTTATTGACATTTGTAGCAAAAAAAAGAGAGAACAGGGGTTTGAAGAGGTGTAACACCACAGTATAGAGATATTGTATAACATTGACAGTTAGGACTGAATATACTAATCTCCCATTGAACATATACTGAGTATCAATTGAATGTAGTTGGATATTTGGGGATATGAGAATATTCATGGGCCTGAGCTCCTGCTTATAATAATGGTGTTATCGGTTTAGTGCAATCATTTTGTACACCAAATGCAAAATAAATTCTATTTGTATACAATATCTCCATGCTGTGGTGTTATACCTCTCTTCAAACCCCTGTTCTCTCTTTTTTTTTTTTTTTTCTAACATTTAACTCTTTTCACTGATTGTCTATTCTGCTTGGTACCACGGAGGTACCGAGCAGAATAGCCGAGCTGAATGTTGCTTGGCGGCATTTGGTTATTCACCTATGAGAATAGGGCCGAACGGTAGCGAGCAGCCTGCCGGAGGTTCGGCTCAGCCGATCCAGTAGTTGGATCGGCTGAGTCGATCTCCTTCACTTTCGGCTCAGTTGAACATGCTGAGCACGTTTGGCCGACCGGAAGCCACCCGATGTACGGCTGAAATCAGCTGTACAAGACTGAAGTGAATAGCCGAACAGCGTTCAGTTCACTTCGGGTCGGGTTTATTCCCTGGGCCGCCTTCGGCAGCTTTGTGAATAACCCTCTTAAACGCTGGGAGCCGAACTTGCTTCAGAATTACAGGAACAAAATGTGAATGTTTTCCTACAATGTAGGGAGCTCTTTCTCGATAATGGTTCGTCCCGTTTTCCAATGATATTCAGTTGTAATCCATTTGATGACCCGTCCTCCCTCTGTTTGCAGATCTTGGTTCTGCTCTTCTATCTCTCCAACATAAAATGTAAGAATGTCCGGGACTGGGAGAGCTTCGACCACAAGACGCAGGTGAGCTTCCTGTTTTGGGATTGCTGTGTTTTGCCGAGTCGGAGGGTGACGGAGTACGGTGGTGACATTCTTGCTGCTTTTGCAGACCGACCTGGCCACTATCCTGAGGTTCGTGCTGGACAATGAAGATGACCCGTCCATTGATGACAAACTCATCCGCTTCCTGCAGAGGAAAGGTGAGACCCGGGGCTGGCTTTGTAGGGCAATCATTCTACACGGCCAGCGGCCCCTTGCTGGAGCTCCTTGGCCCTAATAACAGATTTAGATTGCAGAGTGGTCCTAATGGAAGTCTGTGAAGGTTCCCATTAATAAAAATTAAATCGAGGCAACTGGACTGTCAGGCAAAGCTCTCATGCTGAATTGAGGGCCCAGTCACACCATATCTAGTGCGGTCCGAGCCTGGAATGTACTGGCATCGAATGGCAATGTGCCATTAAATGGATTATCACTTTACTACTATGGTGTGCTGGTGACATTATTTCTTCTATGGTATACACGGTTCCGTCCGCGGTCACTACGAGCACCCACCCATACGGGTTCCTTCCGGTAAGGAGTGCAGCAAGACCTCTGGTTCTTTGGAATGTACTGGAGCGCATAGATTAAGCCAGGCTGCCTTCTGGGAGGGGAGGGGGCATCTCTGCGGTGCCATTCATGCCAATGACATCGCAGACAGTCCCCTTCGCCCGCACCGGAATGCAAGGTACAGGAATGCCCTCCATACCGGTGCAGGCTAATTGGACAAAATGCTGCACTATTGTTTTCCAATCGCGCAGTAATACACGTGCACCGCTCATACCGGAATATACGCTATGTAAGCGAAAATCTCTTCCGTGGTAAGGGTGGGGGGGGG